AGCGACACCGCAAACATCAGATATCTAGGGATGAACGGGCAGAACAGAGGGCTAACAACCACCTGCTGCTCTCCTGCCATCATCACTAGGTGACACAGCCTCGACACCTGCTGCATAAGCTCGAGGACCCACACCTTGCTACAGCCTACATCACCACAGCGCACCACCTGACAGCATCCACCACGGCACCACAACCACTCCTGGAGGCACCAACAGCCAGAGAGCCACCACTGTCTCCCAGCCGTGAGTGGCAGGTGCGTGTCTGATTGATGTCAGGCACCTTTGACGTCGCTCGCTGTTGTCTATTCTATGGACAACAACGTTCGAAAGGGGGGATATTTGTAGCGTCTGGACCAATCAGACACACCATTTTTCATTTGATTTAACAAATCAATTATTCATTAGATTAACAAACGTTCACAGACCCCTCACCCAATAAACATGCTGGGTGCCAGGATGTCTGCAACGACACCAGGCCCCCCCCTGGTACCCATGGCAACCACGACACCTCTGTTAGACCAGATCCATTTACGACCTAATGGAATGTAAGTAGGGAAAATCACTGCCTTTTTCTTAAGGAAGAGACACAGTGCACAGTAGAAATGGACTCTTTTCTAATTAATCCATAGGAAAACCTTTCTTTGAATGAACACACATATCCTTCAGGTCATTGTGTATGTTGTCTTTGAGATTTTATACTGTTTTATGCAGGCTTATGATGGAACCACTCGTTCCTGTCATCTTACCTATATGTAATCCTACCATGTTTAGTATCTATGAATTCGCCTTCTGATGATCTAAACGAGCGTGTATATTATATGTTGGTACATAGGCAATATATTAGTGTCCTGAGAATCTTTAGTAATTTCGATTCAAGTTCCATATGCAAATTACCATGCTTCCACACAAAGGGTCATAAACTCCCCAGTATTTCCAAACTCCCACTTGGGATTCCGGCCTTTCTCATTGGACAAGCCCACCTTGAGAGGCGTGAATCTTCGCAGACTTTAAAGGCCTCACATTCAGTGACCCGTCCAGAGTCGGTGGTTTGGTTGAATTCTGAGAAGATGAAGATGTGAGCAAACGCTCCAGGACACCCTAAGTTCGTGCCAGGCTTCGGCCTTGACTTTTCCATTCACCAAGATTCTCTGACTCAAACTGGTTCTTTTTCATCAACCAACTTCAGCAAAGATCAACTTGAACCTTGGACTGCATCAAGCCTTTCTTTCAGACAGACGAGACGTGCAAGTATTCAAACTTAGTCTTATTAATTGATACATTAGGTATCATTTGCACCTTTTTACAAAGGTGTGTTTGAACTAAGAATCTGATGTTTCCCTTAGGTGTAGATCTGCTGAATATGCAAATGGTTCCATAACTTCATATTCTTTTTTCTCTTCTCTTTACTGCGTTAAGCTTTTAACCTTTTCCTATACCAACTGTATGCGTGTGTGTGTGTGTGTTTATGTGTATGTTAGACCAGTTTAATTGTTTATGTAGTATGTTGGACTAGTTTAAGTGTTTATGTAGTTAATAAATTCTTACTTGTATCACACTTGACGTTGGTCATTGTTTGCTCATAACTGCAGATTTATGCTACAGGCTCTGTGTAGAGTTGTACAGTAAGAAAGTTATTTCCCTTAACCAGGAAATTAACGTTCTTAGAATTGACAGACAGTTGACCCTGAGAGGTCAAGTAAATATCTACAGCGGATCTAAATATTTATAATTAATTATAACTAGTTATGATTAATTATTCATATTTCCCCATGAGCTGATTCGCTACAGTTTTAAAGGTGTAGCATGCAAGGCTTAATTGCATTGATAGTATACCCTGGTAATTTAAAGAATATTTGAATTGCATAATATTCTGAGATTTTTACTGCTTGTTTGTGAGTTGTACAGTGGAAAACAGATGTCCAGTATTGGTCTGTTCTTGAAAAGAAAACTGATTGTGATTATTTTCTAGTGTGGTTAGTTTGGCTTGTGTCTCTTCCTTAACGAGTTTGTTTAGATCTCAGGAGATGTCATTAAACAAGTGCTGGCAAAATAATATAGGCCTACCACTGATATCATCTGTGTGCACTCCAATCTGTGTAATTTGTTTCAAGATGGTTTTTACAAATGGCCTTTATAGGTTTGAGCTTGGTAATCACAATGGTTAATATTTTGTCAGGGCACACATTAAAGGAATAGTTCACCCAAAAATGAAAGTTTGCTGAAAAT